GGCTTAATTTAGACACCTTCTTCCAAGCAGGGCACAAAACACTTGCTTGTAGAAAATCAATTATTGGCTTCAAATATTGGTCTTTCTCCTGTTCTGCCTTGATATCGATACCTGGTTCCACTTCGTCATCATCAACTTTTTCAGTCGGCTTGACTTCAGCTTGATTGCACCTGGTTAGTCCAACCTCTTTTTGAACACTTACCGGAATTTGACCTTTGTTGTTCCCAAACGTCATTTTATCAAAATCAACTACACACTTCCTCGGTAGTAAGTAGTCCAATCCTAGTATACATTGGTCTTCAATGTCAGCCAACTATACTTTCTGTCTGTCCTTTATGCCCATCAGCTCAATAGTTACCCACACTGGTCCCCACAATCTTGTAGAATGTAGTGTCACACCATAAAGCTTCTGTATGGCTTCGGGTACTCCTTCGTGATCTAACACCTTGATGCTCACAAGGGTTTGCTGAGATGCAAAAAAGGTGCAACTTTGTCATAGACACTGGTGTCGGCTCTAGAACTCAGGTACAGAACCCAAAACCAGTCAGAAGTCTACAGGGCCTGGTTCAGGACGAGAGTCCGTGCTAAAGGGGAGAGCCTGCAAGAGCTGGCACAGGACTTAGAAAGTATGGCACACAAGGCCTACCCAACTGCACCACCCAATCTCCTCAAGTTGTTGCTGAGGGATCAGTTTGTAGATGCCTTGGACAGTCCATAACTGAAGATACAAGTGAAGCAAGAACACCCTCTATTGTGCAGGATGCAATGGTCAGAGCTCTTGAAGTTGAATCCTACGTTAAGTCCAGCACAGAGGTACCGAGGTTGGTACAGTCATCAGGATTCAAGGCCAGAAAAGGTCAGCTTTCAGAGAAGTTTGAGGGAATTTGCTGGCACTGTAACAAACCTGGGCACAAGAGGGCTCAATGCTGGCAACTTCAACACAGGGGAGATGATACAGCAGGAAATGCTGCTATCCAGAAAGGTTGTTGGAACTGTGGAGAGCAAGGACATATGAGGAGCCAGTATAAGAAGAATATTACCAGCAAGTCAGCCTCAAGAAGACCAGTAGTGGTTGGTGTTGAGGGACACTCACCAACCCCATCATGAAAGTCCCAACAGCTAAGTGTAAACTGCCAAGCACACACAGTGTCTATGTGACAGGAAAGCTGGATGGCCTTCTATAGTTGTGTCTGTCGGCTGCTGTCAACTGTCCAAGTATTTCCAGTGGTTATCCCTTCAAGCTCGTTGCCAGATATACTGCTTTCTGCTCCTCTGTCCATCCGTTCATATCTGCCAGTAACTCAAACTGTGCTCTATATGCTTCCCACGGTGCTTTCCCATCGTATTCCTGTGGCTTCCTTTGTACTGGATCACTCCTATCACTGACATTCATATCTGGGATGTGACTTCTAACGGGACTGAATATGTCTGCATTAGGGTTTAGCTGTGGGCTCTGTAAGGGGCTTGCCATTGTCTGGGTCTGATTAAGTCGATGGTCGATGTATCCTCCTTGTGTAAAAGACAAAAAGTCGTCCTTTAACGTACCTAATTCGCTTTTAAATTTACTAATGTTTTCCATTTGTACTTCTTGCCACTGTTGTAGTCTCTCTTCTTGTTTCTTTTCTTTTTCATCCAACAACTGCTGTAATTTCTCTTGTTTATTTTGCTGTTCGAGCTGCCATTGTTGCAAGTTTTCTTGCAACTGCTGTTGTCTCTCTTCTTGTTTCTTTTCTTTTTTCCTCCAACAACTGCTGTAATCTCTCTTGTTTATCTTGTTCTTCGAGCTGCCACTGTTACAGATTTTCTTGCCACTGTTGTTGCCTCTTTTCTTGTTTCTTTTCTTTTTCCTCCAACCAGTGCTGTAATCTCTCTTCTCGTTCTTTTTGTTTATTTTCTCGTTCTTCTTGTTTCTTTTGCTGTTCTTGTATTGCAGCCATCAAGTCTGCTATGCTGTAGTTTGATTTGCCGCTTCTCGTTTCCATTTTTTTATCCCACTCCTGACACCAATTTGTTACGTCTCCGTTTGTTAATTGATTTCCCATAAATTCGTTCTGACAAAACTTTAGCGACACAAGTCCTTACTTAATAAAACTGGTTTATTCTTTCCGAATATAACTTTATGATACACTTAATTTCAACAATCGCGCTAAAACAAACGCTATGACAACGAACGTGCTCAACTTCAATAATACTCTCTGACTGCACATCAATTACTCACTGTCTACACACACACATTATTGTCCCGTCACGTTGTAACCCTCTTATATACACCAGACTACCCTATATCTAGTAATCTTCCGACAATTCCCGAATGTTCGAGAGAACGAGTCACGTGACCTCGCTGACGCAACACTACTTAACTAATCTTTTTTCTTGCCATCAGGTTTTGAAGAAAGTTAACCCTAACTTTTATAGTTCTGTTATTCTCTGTGTTCGTTTGTTAATTTTCCGTAGAAACTTAAATAAAACTAGTTTATTCTTTCTCAATATAACTTTGCAATACACTTAATTTCCACAGTCACTTTAACTTAAACTCACGCTATAATTCACAATAATTCACCCATTTTACTTATGGTGCCCGCTTGACTCGATTATCCGTGTCTATATCTTCCATCTCTCTATCTGCAACTATCTTCTCGCCATCACTTTATTTGCCGGCTTATATACTTTTAAAGCATACATCTGGTCTCTTCCTGAATCTTCTAGATACTCATCACGTGTTACTAGGATTACGTGACTTCCACTGTCGTAACAGTACTAATAGTAATGCATTTAATATTTTTTTTATTTAATTAAATAATGCACCAAATAATATAAACTAATAACACGCAAAAAGTAGATAAATTCCCTTAACTCTGAAAATTTTCTGGCTTTCTAAGTATGTGACAAGAGCCGTTACAAAGCTAGTCGTTAATTTGATAGTTGAGTTACCCTTACCCAAAACCTCAGCAAATGTGTTGGTAGAAGATACAAACTCCGACGTGTTAACATTTATTTCAGAATTCATAATGTAAACCAAACACAACTGTATTGGTAAAGAAAGACATGCATGGAAAATTTATTAACTTCAGCAACTGGGTTTTGAAAATGAAATAATATCATTACTAAATATTAAAATGGAAATTATAAATTGTAAACTAGAAATAAACACTATGAAATTTCAAATTCGATTTGAGAGAGAGCACTAAAGAAAACACCATAACAAAAGCACTGCCAAACGAGAAGTGGTAGTTAAGTAGAATAGCATAGAGGGAGTCACATGAGTCACGTGTGTGTGAAGCATGTCTACTGGTAGAGGTTTGTCTCATGATAATTTACATGCGTGAATCAGTTAAGCCATGTCAACCAAGAGGGTACACAGGAATAAAAGGCTTGTGGCATGTGATAAGTTTTAGCAAATAGAGAGCAGCACAAAATCAGAATAGCTATGTATGTGAGAGGGAGGTAAGGTACCTTGTCGGAAAGTCAGTTTTTAACTACATTAATAATCCTCACCAACATAAACTACAATAAGAAACCACACATAAGTTTAGCTGCTTTAAATTACGTACTGCCTGCAAGTCATTTCCACATGTTATGTTGCTAGTACTATATATTCGTGGTTCATTTCTTTCAGCAATATTGAGGGGAGGTTGTTTCATAGTTTCCAGTTCTATCTGTGTGCTACTTTTTGGAAGCTTAAATGCTCCACCAGCTTTGTGCAGAATGTTAAAGGTTGTGAGTACATGCTTCACTCTTTAGCAATGAAAGATCAGACCAGAGTCATTCCAAATAAATATATATAAGGGACAGAACTCCCAATCCTTACAAGTATCTGTATCACCTTTACCAGCTTTAGGAGACAGACACATATTTAGGCTTGTACAAGTTTCCATGAAATAACCATTATAATGTGTAATCTTTACCTAAGTAAGAGGATTAGTGCAAGTTTATTGCTTTGTACATTTGGTTTACAGGGGTGACACTAACTACATTTGGAACAACTACATGAACTTTTAGAAAAATTATCTGAATATATCTAAATTAAGATGTATTCCGTACTACAGTAGTTAAGGAAGAGTAAATATCACCACAAATGAAATACATTTGAAAGCTAATTTAAATCAATATACAATAAAAACTTTTCTTATAGAGAAGTTCTTGAAAAGAAAGATTAATTTTATTCTTTCAACTATTTTAGTGTAGTTACTCTTAACTTCTATAACTTACCTCTAACTGTTATGTTTATAATTTGGTTTTCTTTTATTTCTGGAGTGTTGTTGTGCCATGCCAAACATTCATAGATTCCACTGTTGTTTATGCTGATATTATGGAAGACCAAAGTTAGGGAAAGAGAATATGGATTGCTAACAAAATCCTGTGAAATACCTGAAATTAGATATGATAATATTATAAAAAAGGCAAAGATGCATAAAAATATATTGAAATAATGGATTATATCACTGAAAGAAAATTAAATTATTATCATTCTTCTGGCATGCTTACTGTTTAAGTCATTATTATAGAAACTGAGAACTTCAATTATAGCTTTGAAAGAACTTAGCATGCCGTTACGACAGCGGAAGTCACATGACGCTGGTAACACGTGATGAATTTTTCGAATGATTATGAATTATCGGGGAGACCTAGTTTGTTCAGGACGCCCTCTTTTTCAGTATATAAGCCTGGTAGAAAAGCCTGCGGGATTGAATGAAGAGAGTTCTGGGTAATATATGATTCTGTTTCGCACTAGAGTGTGTTTTGTTATCGAGATTGTGAATTGCTGTGATCTATAGCGTGTATTATATAGTTAATTTAAAGAACCGTAGTGATTGTGAAATTACTGTGTTCTGAAAGTTTGTCTCAAGAAAGAATAAACTGGCTTAAACCAGAAAGGACTTGTTTCGCTGAAGTTCCTCGGAAAGAATTTCTACCGGAAATTAACAAACAAGCAGATACGCAACAATACTAATCAATAAGTTCAATCTTCTCACCAAGAAGATCTCAGGGTAATAAAAAACAACAACTATGTTTACATTAACAACCGTTGCAATTGATAGCTGAATCCCTATAATACATAACTTAAGACATTTTT